GTATCAGTAAGTAGTGTGATATTCTTGCTAAGATAGTGTACCTCACTTTTTCATTAACCATTTCAGATCAAGAGAACCAAGATCCAGATTTCGATCTACAAGAAGATTGCGAATAGGATGTTCAGCTGTTTACTTTCCATTTATTTCTTTGATTATTTGTTGTTCTTTTATAATGGTCATTCTCGTAACCTTATTGGGTATTCTAAATTATTATATAAGAAATGTAAATTCTAACACTATTATTTCGCTTCCGCACTTAATTTATAATTATTTCCTTTCAAGTTCCAGATCATTACAGCAATAAATTTCAGTTCTTAATCTTAGTGATACCTTAAAAAGAATATTGTATTTAGTCTGGTCTACTCTACTTCTAAACTAATAACTACCTCTTATACTATATATTAGAGAAATTAAAATTACTTTTAGATGGTTAAGTAAAGATGTTATTTGAGAACAACAAAAAATGTTAGTGTTTATTAGGCAAAATAATCTGGTGAGTCCTTAATTATATATTTTTATAGATATCAAAACTTTCAACATGAATTTTGTTAAAGTTTCTTGCCACAATGTACAAATTACTTAAATCCCATTTCTCTTTAGTTATTAAAAATTGATATACATAAAAAAACATATCATGTAAATTAAAGAATAAATTTCTTGCTTCCTAATAATACTCTATTGAACTCTCTATAGCACTATCAACTGCGACAAAGTCTTTACAAGCTATAGGAGGAGGAATAAATGGTGGTTTTATACATCTCAAAAGTGCCCAATTAATCCCATGGAAAAATTCATGTCGTTTGATTGCGGCTGCACCCATTGTGGACCCCATTCGCATGGTGGGGTCCTTGATCAATAGTCGTGTGATCAAATCCTTAGCCGATTGTGACACCATGGCTTCTTTTGGAAACTCAAGTGCTCGAGCCACAATATTCGCCAAGGTCAACTCGTGGTCAACTCCCTTAAATGGCGTCGTGCCATATAACATTTCGAATATGAATATCCCTAATGTCCACCAATCAACTGCATTTCCATGTCCTTCACCAGACACAATCTCTGGTGCTAAATACTCGTGGGTCCCAACAAAAGACATTGATCGGACGTCCATTGGCTCTGTGATGATCTCCACAGCCGCACGATGTGTTGACTTCTTTTTTTGCTTGTGTTGACTAGGGTGCAAACAGGAAGCTACTGCAGGTGTGATACAATTGGGTAGAATGCATGATGAATTAGAGAAGTGGGATTGATTATCAGGATAACAACTTATGCTTGTGATTGATGATGCATTTTGATAAGAAATTATATGGACGGTTGATGTGGAATTATTGCCTTTCAGTGAGAGGTCGAAGTCTGTTAATGAAATGTGGCCGTCGGATCTTACTAGCACGTTTTCAGGCTTTAGATCACGGTAAACTATCCCCATCATGTGTAGGTATTCTAAAGCCACCATGACTTCAGATGCATAAAACCTGTCCAAGAAAGAGAATGTCACAAATTTTTAAAAAAGAAAATAAATGAGTAAATTTAAATAAGTTTGAAATATATAAAATTGAATTTGATAAGTTACTCAGAATAGTTTATTAAAAATTTTAATATTAAATTCTATTTAATATCTTTAGAAATATGTTTAATATAATATTAAAATATAATTATCTCTCATAATATTATATGTATTAATAAAAATATGTAATATATTTAATTTATTAATATATAAACATGTTCATGAACTTGTAAACCAGATTTAAAATTGGCTCTTATACAATAATGAGTTTAGAATGTAGCTATACTTATAACATTTAGGGACAAAATTAAAATAGGAAAAGAAGATTTTATTAATTAATAAAGATGTAAATGAAGATGGTACCTATTCATACATATATATATATATATATAGAGAAATATGATAGAATTAAGAAGGTGCAAAGGGGAAAGGTTTGAAACTTCAAAGAAGATACATATAATTGGGAATTATATAAAAGCCCGAGCTGTCTTCACATGTTTGGTGGTCACCTTCGATCCTTTTCATGTGAGATGTTCGGATTTGACCCCTATCTACTACCTTAATTCTCCACTTACCTCTCCTATACATACATACATACATATATATATATATATATTCACTGTATCAAATTAATTATATTTTCCATTCCACAAAATATTTTATTCACCAATTATTTTGTCTTTCTATAAAATAATTTTTATTACTAAACACATTAATCATTCTATTCAGCATTGACTCTCTTTTTTTTCATTTTTAATTGTAACTCTCAAATTCTTAATTTATTCCTAATTTTATAATTTTATAATTTTCTATATGTTTAATTTTTTTAATAAATTACTGTTAATTACTAATAAGTGAAATATAATATTTTTATTTGCGGTTCAAAATTGGGTCATATTTATTATATTTTCTCAAAATATAAAAAATAAAAACTGGGATATATATATATATATATATATTTATAGAAGAGTGGGGCAACGTTAATTAAGGTGGCTTTCATTGATTTCCTTAATTATATGACGACGTATTATTTTACAACTAATCAAATTTCCCACCAGACAAATTCACCGGCGGGTCCCGCATGCATCCACCTTAGCTAGCAAATAGTAAAATCCACAAAAAGCCACTCATGATTGCTCATACACCATCATATATATGAATCATATGTTTATATATATATATATATACACACACACACACAATCATATACCCAAATCATTATTTAACTTGGATTATCGCATGCAAAACCTATGAATTACCCATTTCCTCCCATGCTTGCTCTACATGATTTATGTGTGTGTATATATATATATATGTATAACCTTCTCGATTCATCAATATATATATGTGGGTATAGATAATGTATGTACGTATATCACGATATTAATTACTTTAAATATTAGAATAATAAACTAACGATTCGAATAATCACATAATATATTTTTATAGATATACATAATTAATGTTAGTATACGTACGTACCGGACAGCAGCTTCGTTGAAGCG